AACGCAACATGCCAGGTCGTCCGTCTAGGTGGTTGGGAGCGTCGATCTGAAGGCGGACTCGGCAGCTTGGGTACCAAGGAAATTCGCGACGCACGCATTGCAGAAGCTCAAGATCCAAGACGAGGAAAGAGGTAGTAGCACTACATCATCACGGGAAGACGTTTTTGTTTGGATATACGGTAGGGGGGGAGGGTGGGAGTCTTTCAATGGTGGGATAGCGGGCCAGAATCTAAGATGAAGATTCGGCTTTGTTTTTCAACTTGGGCATGTCAGCTTCTTTTATTCTCATTTGTACTGCATGGGATCAGGAGTTCTCAGGATTAACAGATGGCGACATAGCGTGCGCTCAGGGAGCAGCATCACTTGGGCTATATCGCTTTGATACCCAGCCAAGATGGTAGATATGCAGCGTTAGATCAACAAGCATGTACGGTAGTTTAAATATGTTGCTATTGAGGAAGTAAACATAACTTTCTTAATGTCAAAAACCAAGCTGCCTCTTCTCCCCTGGGTATTGGATATCAAAACGGCCGTTACCAATTCATCTCATCTCAGCCTTTGTTCTTGGCTGACCCTAAAAGTTCCCTATCCAATCCCCTAGTCCGTAGTCGTATATATCATTCCATCTTCGCGTTTTTGATTTTGCGCTTAATACGATCCTTCTAGTAACCGTGTCGTGAACCAGGGTACTGACCCCATCCAGGAGGCTGCTGACCAGGAGGTGGGCCGCCATAGCCCTGCTGACCGTACGGAGGATACTGAGGGGCACCGTATCCAGGGCCGCCGTACTGTTGAGGAGGGGGAGCACCATATTGACCGGGGGGAGGACCGCCGTATTGGCCTGGAGGAGGACCGCCGTATTGACCGGGGGGAGCTCCGTACTGAGGTTGAGGAGGTCCCCCATAGCCACCGCCATATGAAGGTTGGGGTGGTGGAGGAGCACCATATCCACCTTGCTGAGAGTGCGCCGAGTTGGAAGCCGCGTAGTTGGGGTTCTGACCGTATTCAAACGAGGACTGACTTGGTGGTGCAGGAGAGCTCGAGAGGTAGCCTGCAGCTGGATTACCATCTTTACCCTCCATCGAGTCAAGATCGCGGGTCTTGACTTGAGACCACAAGGATCCTGCAACCTTGCCATGCCCAGCATTAGCCATATCGCCAAATGTCCCATGGTTGCAGCCGCCACCACCGATGCTGCGGCTGTTGCCCTGGACTTGGTTAAGAATGTGGTTCTTATGATTTTTGACAGAGTCGGAGGAGAGAAGATGAGCAAGCTCGTGGCGGCGGGGGTGCTCATCAGCCCACTTCTTGACAGTCTTGAACATGTCACGTTGGATCTCGATATGATCGTCCCGAGCAGCAGGGTGGTGGAAAGCACGGAGGACGTCGTTAACGACTTCGTCAACAGAAACGCCAGTGTTCTCCCAAGCATAGAGGACGCGACTAGGATGGTTAGCTATGATGATGGCTGTGGGATAGTGGAATTGGCTTACGGAACGGTGTACTGGAGAATGGTGGCGGCGATACGTCCAGCACATGAGTTCAAGATGTTGGTGAAATGGTCCTTGGACAACATGGAGTGGGTGGGATCAGAGCACTGGGGATTGTCCCAAGGCTCATATTGAGATTTAGCACTGGCCGTGATGACGCCGGAAGAACCGTCCTTGAGAACCTTTGAGACCTGGTTGATGATAGGTCGGATGAAGGGAGCAAGAAGGCCCAGGATGAAGGCAGTGAGGGTCTCGCTGATCTTCTCAAGAAGTTTCTCAAGGCCAGGGACCTTGGAGATACCACGACTGATAGCCTTGACAATTTTGTCGCGGAACTCGAGGATAGGATAGATCTTGCGGGCTGTCTCGACGGGATCGAAGTCGGGACTCATACCGGGAACTTGGTTAGCATTGTCACGAGAGAGGTCACCGCGGGTCTGCTGGTAGCTCATGTTGCGCTGCTCTTGGGCTTCAGAGCTGGCCTTCAGGTCTCGAGCCTGCGCGGCGAATCCGTCACCGACACCGGGAAGCTTCGAAACCAAGCCGATGAAATCAGAGGGACTGGACTTGATTCCAAGGAAACCTCCAAGCAAGGATCGTTCACCACCACCGCCACCACCGGATCGATTGGAAGCGCCCTCGGCGTTCTTGAGTGCAACATCGACTTCATCGACCTCAGACTGCGTGAAGTGATCCGAGGCCTCTCCAATGACGGAATGCAAGAAGTCGACAGCGCCAAATGTGCCTGTCACAAGGGGATATACGCGCTTTCCATGGAGATTGATCTCGGTATGCGCACCGCAATGGGGGAACACAGAATGGTAGCCAAGCTCTCGAAGGGCAAGCTCACAGTAGTTGCTGTGAGCACTGAAGTCTTCCATCGTGTGCAGCGCCTGACCAAGACATCTCAAAGCCTCGCAGAGGTCATCTTCGTTTCCTTTCTTGGAACCGCTGGTGTAAAGACGACCATAGTGGATGCTTCTGGCGAAGCTGTATCGCAGATAAGCGGCGCTGGTTGCCCAATTTCCTTTCTCGTTCGCGATATAGTTTTTCATGCCAGTTCGAGAGTCAATTTCGGTTTCTATTTTCTCAACGGGCCCTCGTAAACGTTTATCAAATGTCCGCGCATCAACTCCATCTCCGTAACCGAGAGGATTATCGATGTGTTCTTCTGGACGATAGACGCCGAGGCGGTCCGCGGTCACTTCGAATTCGCCTGTGGCATAGCCGTGAGCCATGAAAGAGAGAACCCAAACCTGTCGGTCAAGTAAGCATCACATGGTCATTGGTGGCGCAAAGTAACGGCTCATACAAGAATGCGAATAGTCTCGGCATTGACACCCTTCAAACTGCCGATATCAACGGCCTGAGAATAGTCGCGTAGCCAATTTCCAAAGTAGGTACGTTTGATAAGCATAGAAGTCCATTTCTTTCCGTGGAGGAAGGCGATCGTCTCGAGCATATCCTCAATGTCTGAAAATGATGTGAGCAACGCGATGTAACGGGATCGATATGGAGGGGTAATTTACCTCCATGGCGCCAGTTGTGACCTTCGACCTACGCGCATGTCAATAGGATGGAGAGAATTGGCTGTGGATGAGGTCTAATACTGACCTGAGCAATTGAAGGAATGTTTCCAGCACCAAAGGCTTCAGCTTTGCCGGGAAGCAGGATGAGGCATACTGCGATCAGCAGTAACCACGAACCCCGCGGCATGGAAAATGACGGCATGGTAGTTAGTGATGCAGCCCTATGGCGGGGTTATTGAGCAAGGGGCGTAATGCGAGTGGAAGTCTAAAAGGTTCAGAGGGATAGGTAGCAAGATAGAGTACAAAATCGGGCTATGATCGTAGCAAGAGGCCAAGAGGAGGTTTAAAAACTTGATATGCCAAGAGAGAAAGAGAGAGAATGTGACATGCAGATTAGGTAGTCGACCTAGAGCAGGTCACACTGATGACGGGATTTGTTGTGGCTGGGCTTGGGGTTCGTTGCTAGGAGGGAGGCAGTAAGAAGTGGCTCCAGCTTTCAGCTCCCCAAGGCGATTCCTGATTAGCACTGAACGTGGCGCTCATTGGGCTGATGGGATTGCCGCTTCAGGCACATGCTAAGCAAAAGCCTAGGCTAAGATTGGGTAGCAAACGGTTGGGCGAGAGGCCTCTCAATGATGAGCTCAAGCTCGAACTCGACTCTCTTCGAGTTTGATTGCGAAGCTAAACCCACACTATCTGTGGCTTGGCAATTGAAGATGAGGCTCAGCCAACAATACGTAAACATGTCTTGGCATTTCAATTCCAAAGAATATTCGATATAAAGCTGAAATACGATATAATCCTTTCTACGGAGTAGAGATAAGACCTAAGCTTATCTTGGGCCAGAAGCTTGCTTGCTCCTTGAGTCCTGCGTAGGCTGACGTCGATTGCTGACTTCAAGGTTGTTGTTGGGTGTAAGTGAGCCCTCTTACACGCATCATCCACAGCGTTTCCTTGCACTCAAGCGACTCGATAAATATGCCAGATATGTTTCAAGAGTCCAGTCGTCTCCTATCCCACTTTCACTTCCATCCTCACTTGTAAATGGACTAGTCTAGTCATGTACAAACACGTAGAAGACTGGGCTGCCGTCGTGAGCTCTGTATTTGGGAAAATCGACCAAGGACATCAGACATCACGGGCTCTGTGTAAGTGTCCCTTTACCTTTTAGTGCTGTGACATGATGCTCTCCTATACTGAAAGGCCCGCTCATATCCTCAACGGTATGCTGTGAAAGAACCAGTAGTCTAGCTACCTAGGTAGTCTAGATGGGCTTGAGATTTTGCCTGGTGGAGCTCATCGGGGCAGTATAGGAGATCCGGCTTCTTCGGAAAACAATCCTTGGCAGCACAATGCTGTAATCGGAGCATACGGATCACTGAGATTCCGATGTTTACTGAAAAACATCCGTGTTTAATATCTATTGTCCCCGCTGAGGAGATGAATACAATTGGAATTCGTAAGCCCATTGATCGACTGATCGGTCCCGATTTACCCAGATAGGAAAGATAGCGTAAGCGAAAGATAAATACTAGACATGATCTGAGTGCCTGGAAGCTGGCATTTATATACGAATATCGATTACGATGAATAGAGCGTATAAGAACCTACCTCACAGTGCACGATGATACCGAGTCTTGCATGTGATGTTGTAATGACCATACCTAAATGCCAGATTGTTGCTACTGTGTAAATAAATCTCGATCTACGGATAGGTACTCTTTCAGCATTGACAGGCTCAGCTAGGCGTCAATTGCATGAAATTAGGGACCATCATCACCAACACTCGATCATTCGCCTCGACCTCAATCATCCAAAGACCAATCGTCCACCACTAATTTCAGTACAAACGCTGTCTTATTTGTTGTTCCGGCAAATACTCTGATATCAGGTCTTTTTTGCGATGTTGTGGCATGTTTTATGGTCATTGTAGCGCCACTCTTCTGCTAACACGGATGGGGATCCTCATTAAAAAAAAAAAATCCCCTGGATGGACCCCTGTGCGGCGACTTTCACTTGCCGCTCACGCCGCCCTTTCATTCATTCCCTTCCATGACAGTTTGATATTAAACCTTTTTTATAACTTAATCCTTTAACCCCCTCTCAAGGTTTCAATCATTCTATCCTTCACTCTCCTTCAGTTCCCCTCCCTTTGTAATCCGCCTTGGCTGTCGACAAGGAGCATCTCTGCTTGTGCGCTGCTTCAATCGTCTTGTTTCCCATCCTCATCTCGACCCGTACGTTCCGACCGCTGCTTCAACAAAATGCCTGGACGTACTCTACCGACTTTCACTCGCGCTGAGGTGGAAGCGCATAACTCTGGTGACTCCTGCTATGTCACCATCGGCAACAAGGTCTACGATATCACCGATTTTGTTGAGGATCATCCTGGCGGTCCCGAATATATTCTCGAATACGCCGGTCGCGATATCGAAGAGATCCTCAAAGATTCTGATTCTCATACACACTCTGACTCTGCCTACGAGATTCTCGATGAGAACCTTGTCGGGTTTCTCGTTTCTGAGAAGGCTGTTAATGGACACGCCAATGGAAAGGCCAACGGCAACGGAAACGCAAAACTACCCAATGGTGAAGCCAACGGAGACGCAAATGGCTCCGTCCACCCCCGAACCGGAATGTCTTGCGCGGAGGACTTGAGCAAGGATACAGACTATAACTTGGACTACAAGAAGAACAAGTTCCTCGACCTGAACCGACCTCTCTTCCCTCAGATCTGGTTCGGTGGTTTCTCCAAAGAATTCTATCTTGATCAGGTCCATCGCCCTCGCCACTACAAGGGAGGCCAGTCTGCGCCTCTGTTTGGCAACTTCCTTGAGCCTCTCTCCAAGACCGCCTGGTGGGTTGTTCCTATGGTTTGGCTGCCTTGTGTCGCGTACGGTACCTGGGTTGCTTCTCAAGGTTTCGATAACCAGCTCTACACCTTGGGCTACTGGGCATTTGGCGTTTTCTTCTGGACCATCATTGAATATGTCCTGCATCGCTTCCTGTTCCATCTTGACTAGTAGGTTTCACGATTCTTTGCTCCTGAGCTTGCCGCTAACTTTTCATAGCTACCTGCCCGACAACCGTGTTGGAATCACACTTCATTTCATACTTCACGGCATTCATCATTATCTACCTATGGACAAGTATCGTCTTGTTATGCCTCCTACGCTCTTCGCTGCTTTGGCTGCTCCTTTCTGGAAGTTTGCACATGCTGTACTCTTCCACAACTGGTATGCTGCTTGTGCAGCTTACTGTGGCGGCATCTTTGGATACGTCTGCTACGATCTCACACATTACTTCCTTCACCACCAAGACCTTCCTCTGTGGTACAAGGAACTCAAGAAGTACCATCTTGCTCACCACTTCCTTGACTACGAACTCGGTTTCGGAGTGACGAGCAAGTTCTGGGACAGCGTGTTTGGTACTGAGCTGATCTACAACACCAAGAAGACGAAATAAGTCTGTAATAGTGCACAAAATCTGCCTGGCGCAAAGAGAACCAATACAAGCCAGGACACAGTATATATGTCTTGCTTCCATAGTGGTTGGTGAACACTGGGTTGTACGGAACAGTCATGATTTTATGGATGGTAACGAACATGGTGGTCACTGACAAGAATGGCGATGAATCATTCTCATAAATAGTTTTAATGGTTGGGACTGGTTTGCCCAATGGGTCGGTCTATTCTTGGACAGAGTTAATTTAATAATGAACCTTTTATTGGATACTTTGTGCTTCTCTGCTTCATTGTGTCTACCTACCTAGGTAGGTTGCGGCCTCACCGACGTGGCTGCGATAATCGCCACGTGTCTCGTCACGTGCAAGCCATTGGGACTTTCCGTCCAGCCAAAAGCTTGACCTTGACCCATCAGGAGTTTTTAAGGCAACCTCCCCCCAATAAACTTTTCACTCGACGACAGTAATTATTAAATCACCCGACAGAAGAGACCTACGAGCAAACGCATACCTGGTGCTCAATCACAAACGAGTCCTAATCGGAGTTTTCCCAGACCTACGCAGACATCATGGCTACCTTGGACGTGGAAGCACTCCTGGACGCCACCGCTAAGGATACCTCTGAGCAGAAGACTAAGAGCCCTGTAGAGGATAGAACACGAGACGAGCCCGAACGGAGGGATAGGGAGCGTGATCGTGGCCGTGACAGAGACGGAAGTCGACATCGCGACCGCGATCATGGACGACGCAGAGATCGTAGGGACAGCCCCAACCGAAGCCGTAGGGCTACACCCGATGTAGGAACGCCTCGAAGCGATGCTGGAAGCCATAAGAGTAGGAGGAGAAGCCGCAGCCGCGATAGCGACCGCCGTCACTCACGCCGAAACAGAGATGGTGATTACTACAGAGGTGGACGACGCTCACGTTCACGATCTCGCTCTCCTTACCGTCATTACCGCCCCCGCGACGACCGGGATCACCGTGACCGCAGAGACCGCGACCGAAGAAATCGCGATTATGGACGCGGTCGTGATGACGAGCGTCGCGAAACTAAGCGTGAAGAAGGCAACCCCCAGCTTACCGAAGATGAAAGAGATCGTCGCACTGTTTTTGTGCAGCAACTTGCCGCTCGTTTGCGCACTCGCGAGCTCAAGGAGTTCTTCGAGAAGGTCGGACCTGTCAATGAGGCTCAAATTGTCAAGGACCGTATCAGCCAAAGATCCAAGGGGTAAGCCGAGGCAAACTAAACCTATCTAGGGTCCCATCGCTAACAATATGCAGAGTTGGTTATGTCGAATTCAAAAATGAGGAATCCGTTACTCAGGCTCTTCAACTTACTGGACAGAAGCTTTTAGGTATTCCTGTCATCGTACAAGTCACAGAAGCCGAGAAAAACCGGCAAGCCCGAAATCCTGAAGCTTCGGGACCTCACCCCAATTCTATCCCTTTTCACCGTCTTTATGTCGGCAACATCCACTTCAACGTCACCGAGCAAGACTTGCAGGCTGTCTTTGAGCCGTTCGGCGAGCTTGAATTCGTTCAACTCCAGAAAGATGAGAACGGCCGCAGCCGCGGCTATGGCTTTGTCCAGTAAGTTCTTCTATCCATTTACTGTACTATTTACTTACATTCCCAGGTTCCGTGATGCTGGCCAGGCACGAGAGGCACTGGAGAAGATGAACGGCTTTGATCTAGCTGGACGTCCTATCCGCGTCGGACTCGGAAACGATAAGTTTACC